AAAAAAAAAAAAAAAAAACCTCCAGAGATTATTCTCTCTTCTTTATACTTAAATGATTTGTCATAACTGATCTTTAGTCAAAGGTTAAACAATTCAAAATGAAGGACCTCACAATTTCTAAGAAGCTTTATCAGATCATCTTCAAAAGTAAAAAGGCTTGAATTTCTTAGAATTCGTTCCAGGATACAAAGGACCTCGATTAAATTAAATATAAAGCCCTTTGTGTTTGAAGATTTTAAAAGATAGAGACTTATAATTTTTTTTAAAGGCAGGCTAAGAATGATCAGTAAAAAGGGCAGCAGGGTGAACACACATACTAACTCTAGGAAGTGCCTTAAAACTTTAAGTAAGAGCTAATGTTATTTTTCTCATTAAATGCAAACTGTCAGATTCTACTAACTAGAATTCTTGGTACAGAAAACATATTGATGTTAAAGTAACAAACCCAGAAATCTTTAACTAGCACTGTTTATGTTTCTCTTAGTAGCAGATCTGCAAAATTGTTCAAATTTACAGGCAATTAATGCCAAATTGCAGCCAGTAATCTCAAGAAGAATTTAAACATTTTTCTATCTCTCCCACTATTACACAGAAAGCATTATAACTTGTTAGTTATAGGTGCTCCTTATAGATAGCCACCCTTTGGCGTGGCCTTCAGTATGATTTTTATCATTCTCTCCTTTGCCTTGGGCAGCAAATTAGACAGGCAGCATTCAGAAGAAACAGAGGATTAGTTCATGAAGGAAGAAGAAAGGCAAGACCTAAAACTGGGCAAAAGAAAGGAAGGGAGGGAGGGAAGGAGTGAGGGAGGGAGGAAAAAGACAGATGTAGGGAAGAGGATTAATATCCAAAGCTGATGAAACTGGTAAAACAACACACTCAATATATGTAAACATCAATATGCTTATATGCCTTCTCCAAAGAATTTATCCTAAAAAAATGAAGAGAAAAAAAAAATCAGTACGGTCAATATTGTTCACTGCAACATTTTTTAAAGTAGTGAATATCAGAAACAACCTAGATGTACAAAAGTCTATAGAACATACACTTGATAGAATATTACATAGTCAACTTAATTATAAAGGCTAAATTAATTTTATATATAGATATATATATATACACAAATACAGACATACACACATGTACATACATGTATGTGTGTGTATATGGCTGGTATCTCTATAAACAACCCCACACTGCCCATCACAGAGACCAGGTCCTTCCCCCTACTTCCCTAGGCAGCAGATGTTACACTTACACAAAACATTTTTCATTCTTAAAAAAGCACAGCTGTGTGGACAAACTATGTAGTGTGAACTCCTCTAGTTTGGAAGCTGCTGGGGGATAGCTAGGATCCCCAAGATGTCTTCTTTTCCTTATGTTGATGGATCCAGCAACTGAGCTCCGCAGGACTGTACTGAACAAAGACATTAGCGACAAAGAACCACTACTCCCTGAAGCTGACTCTATTGTGTCCTGAATGACAGGACATGGGCCACTGTGTTACATAAACCATGCAACTACCAACAGTATGGTAAGAATGAATTAATTTTGCACTGGTGATAAGTGCCAGCACTACTGGGCCACTTATCAAATGAGTGTTTCTTGAACAGCTCTGACTTCAATAACACCAGGTAGTAGCTTCAGTGAGAAGAGTGCAGACCATTCTATTGGCACCCTGGACTCGGCCAGGGCATTTCAGCAGTCTAAATGTGACCGAGAGTCCATTTACTTACTGCAAAGGTCAAGAGGAGGAACTTGTTGAGGAGGACAGGGTTTTCGAGAGCAGCGCCTGATTTTATGGCTTCCCATATCTGTCAGAAGAAAGAGAAGTGTCAAGGCAGGTTCACAGGCATCTCTGAGCTTCTCACAAATGAAGCACAGAGGCGAAAAGCTCCAAGCTCTTCTTTCCTCCAGGCCCAGCACCACTTACCCCAGGCTGTAAAGTGGGTTGTTACCTCACTCTGGCCACTTTGGATGGCCTCTCCACCAGCCACACTCCCTGTGGGGGCTGAGGAAATTGCGAGAACCCAGAAGCCTCCTCTCAGTCAGACTCAGCATCCAAGGAGGCAAGCAGGCCATTTTCATGTCTTCACTATTTCCTCCAACAAATATTTACTGATTGCCTACTATCTACCAGGCACATCAGGATTACAGAATAAAAGACACAGTCCCGGGTGCCTGGATGGGTCAGTTGATTAAGAGACTGCCTTTGGCTCAGGTCATGATCCTGGAGTCCCAGGATGGAGTCCTGCATCGGGCTCCCCGCTCAGTGGGGAGTCTGCTTCTCCTCTGACCCTCCCCCCTCTCATGCTCTCTCTCTCTCTCTCCCTCAAATAAATAAATAAAATCTTAAAAAAAGAAAAAAAAAAAGACACAGTCCCTACCCTCAAAAAGCCTTGAGTTCAGTGAGGGAGAGAGGCATAAATGTCCGAGTGCACCACCAGGTAGGACATGCTACCTCAAAAAGATGTGGAATTCCTGGGAGGAGCACTGAACTGGGCTGGGGAGGGGTTCTAGGAGGCAGTGATTTGAACCAGGTATAGGAGATTTCTCAAAGTGTTACTGGGGATTATCTTGCCCTGAGACATGAAGAGAATGATGAGTTTATGCATACTCAGCAAGTACTGTGACCAGAAGCAGAAGCTGCTACTGGTCTGTAGCTGCTGATCACAAGATGTTTTAGTAGCTAAGATTAGCTGCTAAACTTTGTGTCACTAAGCAAGACAAACAGTTGCACCAAAGGAGCCACTGGGTGGAAGAGGGAAATAAACAAAGAGAAGTTCCTGCAATTGACATAATAACCTTGGAGGAGGCTGGACCAAGGAAGAGCAGGCCCCAGGTCTGATAAACTAAGGGGGTGGGAACTGCTGGGGAGTGTGGATGGGGGTGAAGGCTGAGCCCCAGGACAAGGGGTGGGATTTCTGTGGGGAACAATCTGTGATTTTTGATGATGGATGAGAATCTGACCCAACTCCTTGGAGACAGCCTTTGAAATGTGCAGCCAGAGCAGGAGCCCAGGAGCAGTCAAGCTGTAGGCCAAGGAAAACCACCATCATCACTTGGGTCACGAGCTACATCCATCTCGAGGGATGTTAAGGGATGGGTTAGCCTGGTGATAGGTATTAAGAAGGGCACGTACTGCATGGAGCACTGGGTGTTATATGAAAACAATGGATCGTGGATCACCACATCAAAAACTAATGACGTATTGTATGGTGACTAACATAACATAATAAAAAATAAAATAGAGTCACCATTAAAAAAAAAAAAAAGACCAAAGGCAGATTTCCTTCTCCGACCGTGGCACCCACACCCATTTTTTCTTTTTTTAAGACTAGTGTGAAGACCACTCGATTAAGTGGGTTAGAGGGGATAGGGATAAACTGTCTTCCTATTTTAATTCCTCACACTAACTCAGATATGAAGAAGTAAGAGGAAGACACTCCCGGCACAAAGAATATCATGTCCCAAGGACAGAGGTGAGAACAAAAGTAGGGGAAGGAATTATAAGTGATTTGCTGTGACAAGGGTCAGAGAAGGTGAGGGCAAGAGTGACAGGAGAGAAAGGCCACAGAGGCCACAGAGGCCAGGCCACAAGATGGAGTAGTTTAGATTTAGCCCTAAAGATACGGGAGAGACAGTACAATCATCTCTGATAGCATTACGGGCTTAGGACTGGAAAGCCATGGGGCACAAAGAACAGAGAACCCAAAGGCATGCAGACACATGAATAGAACTCTCAGGGACAGGTCAAGCTGCTTCCAAATGCTAACTGGAGAGCAGCAGCAAAGCTTTTCACAACTGCCCTGCCATGGCTTTCCAGCCTATCCCCAGCTGAGAGCCTGAATGTCTTCTCCCTGACCTTCCCGCCAATGCAGGAGAGCTGCAAGTACTCTCTCTGGGATATAAACCAAAGCCCACAAAGATCTTTAAGTACCGACTCTATGCTAGTTTCCCTGAGAGACCCACGCACCTGATCAGAAACATCAGGCCTACCAAGACCAGGGAAGATAGGACAGATACATCATCGTTTCCCAGCTAACCTCATCTGCTGCTTGCTCCAAAAGTAGCTTCTTATCTGCAGCCTTGAAAGCCTCAAGTGTGTTGGTGTTAAAGAGCGTTCCAACAGCCGGGCAGCAGTGGGCTGGGGTGGGAGCACTCCTGGATATGGAAGAAACATGGTTAGGCAGGCACAGACGGGAGAGCAGTGGGAGACAAAAGACAGGGCTCTGTAGGGCAAAGAACTAAAAAAAATAAAATAAAAACCAGCACTGTACACACAAAAAAAGCCTCTATATTCCCTTTACCCTCATTTCTCATTGTTCTTCCACTGCTCACCAAGCCCCACACCACCCCCGAATATAAGTTCATTACCTAGTTTTTACTCTTTCTCATCTTTAACCTGAAAGGGAAACATCATTTATTGAACTTCTACTGTGCCAAGAACTACACAAGTTTTGCATTTTCCTAACAGCACTTTCTCCTGGTTAAAGGCTTAAGTAACTCACCTAAGGTCACATAAAGATAGGCGGAGCAGGAATCTAAAGCCAGAACTAGCAGACTCCAAGGTACTGAGCTGCCTACTCCCCACTCAAACCCTCCCAGGCTTCAAGGCCCTACTCCAAACCCTCTCCTTCCAGGAAGCCCCTCCCATTTTCTCTGGTAATGGCTGGCACAGGAAACTGAGCATCACATTTTAGAGTGTTCAAGATTGACCATCACAGACACCCGACTAGAGGACAGTAAGCTCCCTGAGGGCAGGGAACATGTCTCCCTCTTCTGACTGTCTCCAGACCTTATCCAGCCCAAACGGGCTCCACAAAGCTGCTGCTGAGCCAACTCCTGGTGGTCGTCTGAGTCACAAAGACAATATGTGTCATACCTGGGCTACCTGCCAATCTGTCATGTCACATGTGTATCACACTCTACACTATCCCCTTACAGTCTTCAGAGTAATCAAAATCAGGGGAGAAGAAGATGAGTTAATTCTGAATACAAATTCAGATGTGGAAACATCTGGTCTCTTCTCCGAAATGATTAACTTATGTTTCAGAGGTTACAGATGCTAAATGAAAATACTCATTTCATTAGTAGCCTAATATTGTTGTCAATTACCACTACTGCAGAGAAAATGCATTTTTATTGATTGTACAAAGACCTCATGTCTCTTGGAGTCTGTACAACTGGGTTCACAGGGGCTGTGAAGAGAGAAGATCGAAACCTAGACCAGGTGTGGAGGGGTGCAATGGGTGGTGAAGGCAGCTATGCCAAATGTTGTCTGTGGGGCTTAAATGCCAAGTCCTGGGAAAAAAGTAACTTGCAACGGCCAGAGCCTTCCCTTGGGGGCTGACAAGTCAGCAAATCATAGGCTGTTTCTCACAACTCTACTCCAATAAAATATTTTTCATCCATGTGGAAGGAGGACATCAAAGACAGTCTTGAAGAGAAAGAGAAATCACAAAGGGGCAAGACGCAGCCTAGAGGGAGGAAGAAGGAGCACAGTGGTTGGTACACTAGGCCTCCTACATTCAGACTTGGCTTTAGAAATTACTGCTGAAATAGAAGGAACAAAGCTCTGATCTAATTCTGATACATGCACAAGAAGAAGGGACCCTTTTTCCTAAGTGCCTGAGTGTCCCAGGTGTGTGAATGCAGTGTCAAAGTGCCATCATGAGAAGTCAAGTATCTGCCAGCATGCTGGCCAGGCTCCTAGAACATTAGTGCCCATGCAAGTTAATCAGTGAGAACAAGCTGAAGTTTCAAAGGGAAGAATTTTTCATGAGTAAAGTCCCACCAGGGGAGGTAGCCAAGGAAACGAATTTAAAAAGTGATAGTGGGAGGGAAAGCCATTCTGCCAACCTCTCTAGGTTCAAGTTCACTTATTCCACAGATAGATGGCTCAGATGAAGAGTAGAAAGAGCCCTGGACTTGGAAACAAGAGAATATTAGTTTAGTTTCCTACAATTCTATTGATATGAAATGCCCAGGATAGGCAAATCCATAGACAGAAAGTAGATCATGGTTACCCGGTCTGGGGAGTGGGAGAAGGGAAGAATGTAGAGTAACTGCTTATGGGTATAGGCTTACTTTCTGGAATCATGAAAACGTTCTAGAATTGGTGGTGGCAGCTGCACAACCTTGTGAATACACTAAAAACTGCTGCATTATACATTTTAAAAGGGCAAATTTTATGATATGTAAATTATATCTCAATAAAACTGTTAAAAGATCAGAATTAGAAATCTTCGCCATATACTAAAGCCAACAGTGAACTCGCAATGATGTATAGACTAACCAGGTAAAGGACTGATCTTAGAAAGGCCTCAAGCCTGGACCTGCTTGGGAATGCTGCCTCTAGAAACTTGGCCTGCACTTCACTCAGTCTCCCAGTACAGAGTAAGGAAAGTACTGAAGCTGGTTTGCACCTGTTATTCACACCTGGCCAAAGGCAGGCATGTGGCCAGAGCCTCCAGAACAGACAGGCAGGGTGGTGGCCAGGACAGAATAAATCCCCCAGAAGAAAGAGAGCGGTGGCTTTTCATTATTTTGAGGAATCTGCTCCATGTGCACAGCTCTGCATGCCCACAAGGAACTCTGGGAACCTAGAAGTCATGCTCAGTCTGGGGGCATGCACCATTATCTCCTGCTTTCTGTAATAATCTGTGAGTGTCTGTTTTGCAACATCTCTAACAGACTCCACGGCTGTCCTTCTACCAATCACACCACATCCCATTTTGACAGCCATGCATTTAGACTGCTTGTAATTGATTTCAACAGTTATTCGAGCAACTAGTCCATGTCAGATCTGTGTTAGGGGCTAACGAGATAGCAGAGATTAAGAGAGCCTGTGTTCTGTGCTGATGATTTTGCATACGAGTCTCATTTCCTTAACTATTTTTTGAAGTTTTTTTGAGGGCAAGGGTTATGGCTTCTATTTCTCTAATTAAGTCCAACTTGAGGCTTAGAAAAGAAAATATTTCTTCTGACTGCAAAGATAAATGTTCCTCAAGGGAAAGAAGCCCAGAGAAAGGAAAACTTATGCTTTAATGAGTCAGTTTCACAATTCTGCAGAGCTTGTCCACCAAAATCTACTCTTTCCTTCTTTTTTTTTTTAAAGATTTTATTTATTTATTTGAGAGAGAATGAGACAGAGAGCATGAGAGGGGGGAGGGTCAGAGAGAGAGGCAGACTCCCTGCTGAGCAGGGAGCCCGACATGGGACTCGATCCAGGGACTCCAGGATCATGACCTGAGCCAAAGGCAGTCGCTTAACCGACTGAGCCACCCAGGCGCCCACTACTCTTTCCTTCTTAAGCGGAAATAGAGTACATACATGCTGCTTGTAGTGGGGCACACGCTTCCCAGTTTTCCTTGCAACACAGGTGAGGACTCATGCTCTCCCCAGTGGAACTTGAGCAAAGTGACACATGTCACTTTGTTACCTGCCTGGCAAGGTAAAGTAACAATTCAGGTTGTTGGGTTTCTTTTAAGCTTTTTTTTTCTCTTTCTTTCAAGATTTTATTTAAAACAAGTTAGTTAACATATAGTATAGTATTAGTTGCAGGAGTAGAAGTTAGTGATTTCTCACTTGCATATAACACCCAGTGCTCATCACAAGTACCCTCCTTAATGCCCATCACCCAGTTTCCCCATTCCCCCACCCACCTCCCCTTCAGCAACCCTCAGTTTGTTTCCTCTAGTTAAGAGTTTCTTGTGGTTTGTCTCCCTGTTATTTTATTTTTCCTTCCCTTCCCCTATGTTCATCTGTTTTGTTTAAATACCATACAATTTCACTCATATGTGGAATTTAAGATACTTTTTTTTTTAAGTAGGCTCCATGCCCAACGTGGGGCTTGAACTCACACCCCTCAGTCCAAGAGTCACATACTCCACCAACTGTCAGCCAAGTGCCCCCGACAATTCCGTTTTAAGCAGCACACAAAGACAAGCCCTCCAGAATGATGGGAGCCACAGAGGGAAGAAGACTGAACCCCAGTCCCGGACTATTAAATGGGTAAGAAATAAACCTCTTTTGTATTTGGCCATTACCTTTTGGGGTCTGGTTTAGCAGTATACCCTACCCTAAGCAGCTCTCTCCAGTGCAAAATGGTTGATGCCTGATGAAATACTACTTGACTGCTAATTCACCTAATACAATGTGGAGAACAGGATCTTACGGTGCTAACTGCTGGCAGAGACCCATTAGGCTTCTGGGGACTCAGAGGATAAGGGATTTATCTGGTGCTATGCAAAGCTGAGATACTCTTGGCATCTATAAATGAGTCCTAGGACTGTTAGCTCTTCAGCTGTACCTTATTCCTCTCTCCATGCCCAGTGCTTACCACATTCTATTGTCAAGACACAGAGGAAGCAATCAATAAGTATTTCTGAAATAACCATTACCTTTTCACATTTATTACAACACAGAGCACACTACAATGCAAATATGTATCTCCTATCTCTATCCAGAGCTCCGTGTTTCCTAAGTCTTTGTATTCCTACCACCTACACATCCTGCACGTAAGAGGCATTCAGCATCTGATGAATAAATTTATAAAGATTTTCCCTACAAACCCATGCAGATGTACAGCAATAAAAACAAAGAAAGAATAATAATGAAAATAATTTGGATATGAAGAATTCCTTTCTTCTGTGGCGCTCCAAGCACTTCCATTAAACTCCCTAGCTGTCTTAGTCTGTTTGGGCTGCTATAAGAAAATATCACAGACCGGGCAGCTGATGAATAACAGAAATTTATTTCTCATAGGTCTAGAGGCTGGAAACCCAAGATCAAGATGCCAGCATGGTCAAGTTCTGGTGAAGGCCCTCTTCCAGTCACAGACTGCCCACTTCGAGCCACGTCCTCAAGTGGTGGAAGGGGCATGTTAGCTCTCTGGGGGTCTATTATAAGGCACTGATCCCATTCATGAGGCCTCTGCCTCATGACCTAACCCCCTCCCAAAGGCCCCACCTCCCGATACCATCACCATAGGCATTAGGTTTTCAACGTATGAATTTTGGCAGGGACACAAACACTCGGACCAAAGCACCAATCATCCGAAGACAGATTCAGAAAATCACAGACTTGTAAAACTGGAAGGAACGTCAGAAGCCAAGTGCCAGAGATGAGGAAACTAAATGTGAGGAAATTAAAAGCACTTATTCTAGGTCACAGAGTTAACCCGCCATAGATACCAGGTCGACCAGCTCCAGCTCCGCCACTAGGGCCACGCCGCATTCCTGCTCATCTCCCCAACCGCCCACCACACACCCTCGCACACCGTGGTTATTCAACAGTATGATGAAAAGATATGACCAGTCAAATCAAGCAATTCCTGTGAAAGTCAGAGCTGTGCAATCACAGATGTTCTTACCTCCATCAACTAAAATTTCTGGATTGCTTGAGTTTAAGATGTTTGGACTTTGTAATAAGATCAAAACCTAACTTCTATGAACTGCTTTTTTCCTATAATTAATTGTTCCAAAGAATAAAATTATTAAAATATTTTAAAAAATAACCTTTTAGTCTAGTACCAGAATAAAGATGGCAGCAAGTTTAACTTGCAATTAATGTCAGATTCTTGAGATCACATTAAAACTACACTGCTCATATGCCCCCTTGAACTTCTTCAGATAATTTAATGCTTATACACTGTCGATCATTTTCCTTATTATCTTGTAATTGCTTCAAAGGTAAGTTAATCTCTATCAAAACAAGAGAGAGATTACCAGGATTTGATTTGTTTTGACAAGCAATCACAAGGAATTTATTACAGATCAAGAAAGGTCTGAAAAGGCGCCTGGGTGGCTCAGTTCGTTGGGCGGCTGCCTTCGGCTCGGGTCATGATCCCGGAGTCCCGGGATCGAGTCCCGCATCAGGCTCCCTGCTCGGTGGGGAGTCTGCTTCTCCCTCTGACCCTACCCCCTCTTGTGCTCTCTCTTTCACTCTCTCTCTCTCTCAAATAAATAAAATAAAATCTTTAAAAAAAAAAAAAGAAAGGTCTGAAAAGAACAAGAAACACCAACACATACCCTTTAAAGATACAAAGACTAATATATTTTTTAATAGGACCACGTTTTATTTTTCCTAAGCCTTTCTTTCCCCTCAGAGTGTGGCATGTTATTTATTTCAGCATATCAAATCCCTGATTCACCTGGGGAAAGGACTAATATGATTTTGGATTTATGTTATGCAGTTAAATTTTGCAATTTGAGATAGAAGAATCAAATGTGTTGACTTTTTGAGAGATTTTAAAAATATATTCTATGGCTAAAATCAACAACACAAGAAACAACAGGTGTTAGCAAAGATGTGGAAAAAACAGAATCCTCATGCACTGCTGGTGGGAATGCCAACTGGTGTAGCTCCTGTGGAAAGTAGTATGGAGGTTCCTCGAAAAATTAAAAATAGAATTACTGTATGATCCAGTAATTGCACTACCAGGTATTTACCCAAAGAATACAAAAACACTAATTCAAAGGGATACATGCACCCCTGTGTTTACAGCAGGATTATTTACAATAGCCAAATTATGGAAGCAGCCCAAGTGTCCACCGATTGATGAATGGATAAAAAAGATGGGATATACATATATACAATGGAATGTTATTCAGCCATAAAAAAAGAATGAAATATTGCCATTTGCAATGACATGGATGGAGCTAGAGAGTATAATACCAAGTTAAATAACTCAGAGAAAGACAAATACCATATGATTTCACTCATTTAAGAAATTAATCTTAAGAACTTAAGACACAAAATAAACAAGCAAAGGGGATGAGAGAGAGAGAGAGAGAGACAAATCAAGAAACAGACTCTTAATTATAGAGTACAAACGGATGGTTGCCAGAGGGGAAGGGGGTGAAGGGATGGGTTAAATGGGTGATGGGGATTAGGGAGGACACCTGTCATGATGAGCACCAGGTGATATGTGGCATGGTTGAATGACTATATTGTACATCTGAAACTAATACAACACTGTATGTTAACTAACTGGAATTAAAAATTTCAAAAGCCAAAAATAAATAAATAAAATGAAAATAAAAAATATATTCTAGGGATACTTTACTTGGAATACCCTAACTTTTGACTACTGTGACTTTCAAAAGCCAGGCAGTCCTTACAAAGACCACTTGGCCTTTCTCATATCCCACATGTTAACACAGCTAATGTAGAGAAAGCAGGAAACACTGACCACACTGAAGCCTTCAATTCTTCAACCATTAATTGTCTTACAGCCCCTCAATATGGTTTCAGCTCCACCCTTTTGTGTGGATTTCAGTTTGGGGCTGCAAACAGCCTGATCAACAAATCCAATGGCCCTTGCATTGAATGCTGACCTTTCTACTTCTGACATTGATCAATTCTTTCCTTCCTGAAAGCACCCATCCTTGGTTTCTGTAACACTTCTCTGTCCTCGTGCCCCAGTCATCCTAAAAATCGGGAGGCCCCTTTGGGGAGGGCAATTCAGCAAAAGCTACCTGATAAATGTTCACTGACGTCCATGGATAAGCAACTGAAGGAGTAAGTCAAGAGTAAGTCAAGAAGTACCAATAAGGAATCACAAAATATTAAATAAAATCAAAAGCAGGAGGGATATTATCTATGTTTTAATCAATCTAGATGATACTTGGCACCTAATAGGCTCTGATAATTATCTGCTGAAAACAAAATATCCAATAGTCCTAAGCATTGAGCATTTGTCTCTGTGCAATGGGGGCTACAAGAGAATTGAAGAGCTGGCCCTGCTTCTGGGGGCTCTGCCAGCTCCCCCTGGGGCCCATCTATGTGTAAAGGTAAGAATGCTCATTCCTCACAAAAAGGAAACACTTTAGATTTTAAGCAAAAAAAAAAAAATACTCACATGTCAAAAGCACTGAACTCCAACGTTAAGCGAGCTGGCAGCCCAGCAGAATCACCTGGACAGAAGCATTATCACATTTTCCGTTATGAGTCAGTAATAGCAGCATTCATAACTAAAATGTTTGTGAATAATTGTGTTCTCTTTCTTGAGCCCTAAGTGCCCTGTCCAATTCCTGGTCATCCATATTCAACAGGGACTTAGCAGAAGATGCCAGAGCTTTTCTGAATTGGAGGAATTTGTCAAGACTATAAAAAAAGATTCATTGGAAAAAAAAGTTTCCAATCTCCTCCCTCAGCAATTCTAAGTAATCAGTATTAATTCTTTGGATTAATAAATGGAGTCTCACCACTCCCTTTCTTTTCCCCACAACAGAGAAAAAGAAGTGCAAATGAATTTGTGTCAAAAGCCAGGAAGTAAAATGGGGATAAAAGGTACAGCATAGGGAATATAATCAATGTTACTGTAATAGAACTGTACGGTGACAGATGGTAGCTACGCCTGTGGTGAGCAAAGCATAACATATAAACTTGTCAAATCACTATGTTGTAAATCTAAAACTAACGTAGCACTCTGTGTAAACTATACCCAAATAAAAATTAATTAATTAATTAAAGACAGACAGTCAGGAAGTAAAATAGAAACCAGTGAAGAGCATTAATTAAAAAGACAAGGGTGTCCCTTTTAAAGGAAAGCTGACCCTATACTGGAGGGCAGAGAACATAACAGAAGATGACGGAATATGGAGTTTACTGTCACCTACCATTGTAGTAATAGCCCTTAATGTCCTTGGGAGCTTCATCCAGCCGATACTCATTCAGCTTTCTCTGGGTCAACTCGTGCCAGAATCCAACGTCCAAGGCACTGCTAAAGGGAGCAAACTGCAATTTGGAGAGCCCAGGATCCCCCGGAGCTGCTGCCATTATTTGTTGCCTACTAAAAAACAAAACAGAACACAGCAAAATAGCACAAAATATGGTAAGAAAAAAAAATTTGTAATAAGGCATAATCAAAACAAACAAACAAAAAATGATGGGATATATACAGGCTACCTGAAGACCTAATTGAAAATCACCCTGAATACTCCGCCTATGTTGCCAACAACACAGGCTGACAACACAACTCATTTTCTAAGTAAAGTCCTTTCTCTTAGGCCTTTCTGGCCTTTACCTCTATGCATCTTCCTTTCTTGTTCAAGTCAGTCTGACTGCTACACGAATGCGACTCCTTCGTCAACATAATCACAGTCTCAGAAATTTCTGCCCTCCTGTGTGGTCCTGGAGAACTTCACAAGCCCAGCCGGTCAGAAACACAAGGCCAACCGGCAGAGCTCTGAATGAGAGCAGCACTTGAGCACTCCCCGTTGAGGAGAATGAAGAAATTTCTGCCCACCTAACCTGAACTTTTTTTACATCTCATCTTTTATCTTTTAAATGCATGGAAAATTTGCATTTTACTGTACCATACGTATTTTAATATTTCATTCTCCCCCTGAAATCATCAAATAAATGTGACCCTCCCAACAATCAGACATGCGCACACTGTAACTCCCCCACCCCTGCACACACTCTCAGGGGGACACCACTACCAGCTGGAGAAGCACAATACTAGAGCAACTTGGTATTTCCAAAAAGCAGAAGTCAGGGAGGCCTCTTCACTCTCCACCCAAATTTCCCTATGACCAGACAGAGTGATATTTCTGCAGCAGAATGTATGAAGAGTCATGCTAGATGACAATAGTTCACATCTATTGCCTGAGTTTTGAGCCAAGATTATCACATAGTTTTCAGTTTTCCAAACTTGTTACATTTTGGAATTAAGAGATAACAAGCTTTCGGGGGTGCCTGGGTGGCTCAATCGGTTGAGCGGCTGCCTTCGGCTTGGGTCATGATCTCAGGGTCCTGGGATCGAGCCCCAGGTCAGGCTCTCTGTTCAGCAGGGAGTCTGCTTCTCCCTCTCCCTCTGTGCACATATTTTTTCTCTCTCTCACTCGCTCTCAAATAAATAAATAAATAAATAAATAAAATCTTTAAAAAAGAGAGAGATAACAAGTTTGACTGATAATAACTAGTGCAAAGTTAGCACTCCATGAAGATGCTAAAATTCCAGAAAGAGGAGATGAGTATGGGGCAAAGCAGGGAAGACATCTCTGGGAAGGAGCTCTTTAAAACTCCCGATTGCCTCAGTATGCATTCTCAGCATCATGCGTCAATGTCTGACCAAAGGTTTTCAACTTTCCCCACCTTGAGGGCTTATTAAAAACTGAGGATGAAGGGACACCTGGGTGGCTCAGTCAGTTAAGTGTCTGCCTTCAGCTCAGGTCATGATCTCGGGGTCCTGGGATCGAGTCCTGTATCGGGCTCCCTGCTCAGCGAGGCGCCTGCCTCTCCCTCTGCCTGCCGCTCCCCCTGCTTGTTTTCTCTCTCTCTCTCTCTCTGACAAATAAGTAAAATCTTAAAACAAAACAGAGGATGCTTGGGCTCCACCTGCTGGAGGGGAGAAGGGAGGGTGAGGGTGGCCAGGAGTCTCCAGGTTTGATTAGTGTCCCAGGCGGGTCTGATTCAAGTTTGGTACTATCTTGATGGCTTCAGGCCACTGGCACTCTTACTTTTGGAGGCCCCACCTCTAAACCATTTCAAACATATTTAAACATACCCTCGTCCCGTATTAAATAATTTCTGGCTTTTAATTATTTGAAAGGCTTTTTATAATTCTGTACTCTCACAATGTTCATCTTTTTCCAGCTCACATCTATTTCCATAGAACCAGGGAAAGGTTATGGATCCCATGCACTGGGGCTTCAGTGCCCAACAGAGAAACAGACCCTCATATAGGTGACCTGGGGCCTTCGCATTGAGAAACGTGGATCTAGAACACCCAAACAGCCTCCTCCAATTGCTCCTTTCTACTCTTCCTCCACAATGCTTTCCACTATTGGTTTTTGAAAGATTCCATGCTCAGCTCTCTCCTTGGTCTATAAGTTTTCTCAAAAGCAAAATTACTCATTTTCTACATCAATTTCTATTTATATGCCAGTGAACTGTAGGACTATACTTCTAGAGAATTAACCTCCAAACACATACAGTTGACCCTTGAACAACACAGGCTTGAACTGCATGAGTCCACTTGTACGTGGATTTTTTTCGATAGGCTACAGTATCGAAATACTGTAAATGTATTTTCCTTATGGTTTTCTTAATATTTTCTTTTTTCTAGCTTACTTTATTATAAGAATACAGTATATAATACATATAACTCAGAAGCTATGTGTTAATCGACCGCTGATGTTATCAGTAAGGCTTCTGGTCAACAATAGGCTATTAGTAGTTAAGTTTGGGGGAGTCAAAAGTTATACATGGATTTGACTATGTGGGGGGTCAGCACCCCTATCCCCCACATTGTTCAAGGGTCATCTGTATGTTTTAAAAGCCAGGACTTGGATTTCTCACAGACATCTCAAGTTTGACAAACCCCAACTGAACATTTCTTTTCCCAAAATTCTGCCCCTTTCCCAGTATGTCCTAGTTTACTTAATAGTACCACTTATATCTGAGGTCAAAACCTCAAAGTCATCTTCAATTTTTCTATCTCTCATAGTCAGTAAATCAGTGATTGCTAGAGACTCAGCCTTAAACTGGCCTCTGGAATGAGATGAAGGTGACAGCTACTGGGCATTGACCAGGACCAGGCAGTGCAGCAGAGGTGTGCACCTGAATTTATTCCTCTGGAAAGCCCTAATAAGTGACAGTTCCAATTTTACAGAGGAAGAGACTGAGGTTCACAGAGGTAAGAAGTCTGCAGAAGAACATACAGGTAGGAAAGTGGGGTGAACTGGGGAGGACGAGGATCCAAATTCCACATGCCCATACTCTTCATGTAATTTCATGTTTCCTGTCCAAGTCAGTTTCCCTTCTCTCCTCCATCTCCCTGCCACATGTCAGGCCTACCATCTCACACCTCAGCTCCTGAGGTAACATGCTCACAGGTCACTGCCTTCTGTCCCTGCCTTCTCCAAACAAGATGTCATGTTGCCACCAGAACTGATCTGCGCAGGGGACTGCGTTGTTTAAACAAACAAAACCTTACCGGCGTTACCCCAGAGAGAGTAAGGTGCCAACACTGTTTCAGCTTGCTCATTTCTCAGCCTTACGCCTTTCCCTAGGAAACCTCTCCCCATCTCTACCAGGAAAATTCCATCTCATCTATTAAGATTTTTTATGAAGCTCTCATTAACGCCCACAGTCAGTGGGCATCAATGGTTCCCTTCTCCATGATGACAGATGAAAACTTCCATTAGAGCGTTTACCATCATGAATCATACTTGCTTTTTTGATCATACCCTTTTTAAAATTTTTTAAATAACAGCAGCAGTAGTAGTAACTATTCTAACTGAATCTTTATTCTGTGCCAAGCACTAAACATTTTACACATTATCTTATGACAACCTCAAAGTGGTTGCACTATGCCTTCTTTACAGAAGAGAAATGGAGGCACTGAAAATACCAAGTAACTTGCCCAAAGTCACTCAGTTAGGAAGTAGAAGAGCTGAGATTATAACCCAGGTCGACTGGCTTCAAAGCCCCAACTCTCATCACAAGTACAGTAGTACCGCCTTGAAGGAAGACACCCCTTTTCAGAGACTTTATATTGCCCATCAGCTGCACAGATGCTAAAAAAGAACCATTTCGAAAAACATTTACATACTAACTTCCTCTCCAACAGAGTCAAAAGTAAAAGGTCATAGCCAGAGTAGTCATCCAATATGGAAGGAAATCAACACAGCAGCAGACAGTAGTACAAATGAATCTCTGAAAGCCTCTGTGTGACGGGTAATCAGGCCCCTACATGCTTTAGTCATCCACAACTTACTCTTAAAGGTCGGCGGTAACTCATCATCATTTGGATCACCTGCTGAGGTCACCAAGATGGAATTTTACCAGTGCCAGAGACAAAAGAGAAGACTCTCTTCTATACCGCACTTAAAACAACTGGGAAAAGGTGACTCAGGAAGACCACTTAGAAAATAAGAGATGGGCATACTAATTAAGTAATCTGCGTAAGAGGCACATCCTTCAAACATTTTCTGACTTATTTGATCTTTTAGAAATTTCAAACAGAACCCAAGAGCCTATTTCACAAGAGGATATGGTTGGTATTCAGCCGCTGAACTGCTGCTTGACAGGCTAAGAAAATAGAAAGGTCATAAGCAGCAGCAACATGTGATGAGGACATTGCTGGAAACATCTAAATAGCATACTCAAGTATAAATGTCTCACTTAGGGATCCATACATCTGTGTCACATCTTCCTTAAGCTGGAAGGGAAGATTTACGGAAGTAATGATCAAAATGGAATTCTGGAGGGAGTAGTGAGTTATAGGTGTAAAGTCATTTATGTGTCACTCACCTAGATCCAAATGTCACCTGCTTCCTAAAAAATTACTTGTCTATACAACCCTAGACAATACAAGGTGAGAATTCTGCTTAGAAACTTCAACACTACATATAGACATATTCAAGGAAGGAAACTGACAGGGGCATCAATATAAGTGTGGTTCAACTTTATTTCTCACTATTTCTATCATATTCAGGATGTGAAACCCAGGAGTTACACAAGATGGGACTGTGTGATTTCCACTGAAAGAGGAAAGGCTTTGATGAGGATTCAGCACTTTTCATGAGCAAGAATCCCAGCAGTAACCAAAATATCCAGCCAAGATTTAACTGAAATAGCAGGTGGGTGGTTAAGCAATACAAACTCTCTGGGGCTGTGTGTACCACCTAAAAGTGGTGCAAATTTCTGGCTTTATGAAAATAAAACTAAGTCACACTCAGCAACTTACACAAAGTAGGAGCTCATAAAACACCACTGTCTGAGGACTTGCTAAGTTTCTTTACAAATGGTCCTAAACCTTGGGTAGCGCTGTTCTTTAAAGTC